TCTTTCCAATCTGGATCCATATCTAGATTTGAGGTTTTTAAAACAATTTCTCTAATATCCTGTCTTTCTCTAAAAATGGAACCAAAGCAGCTCACAGCATAAATTATGATAAAATGCGATTTTTACAATAACGGAAGCACTAATATTCCTAAAAGTCCCTTCTGCAAAAACAATAAAACAAAAACCAGTTAATTCACAAAATCCTATCTAATTACAAAAAATCATTGACTGCTGGCAAATGCAGAGCAGATAGGTCCATCTTAACTCTTGTTAGATAGAATTCCACAACCTTGGAACCACCACCTAGAAGGCCATTTACATGTCCTCACCAGATGTGCTTATAACAGTGATGGGACTGGAAAAAAAACAAAAGCCTTTCTAAATTAGCTTAAAATTTGGGTGGTCTCATACAAAAATATACATTTTTCAGATACTCTTTATCCAGACTATTAGGACTTTATAGGTCATAAGTAGCTTTCTCCATTTTGCCTGGAAACATTTCAGTTATGGAGCAAGGTTATGCCTCCTAGAGAAACAGTCTAGAAGGATTTCACTTATGAACAGTACCTTCTCTCTTTCACTGTCAATTCTAGCAAGTTTACCATCTTTATAATAAGAACATCGTAGATTTGCCCAGGCATGCTGCCCCTTCATTTCCCCTTCAAAATAATAACAATGTCCATTATAAAACCACCATGGGGCATTGTGGGGGCATTTTGGATGCTTGATGCCTGAAAGCAAGACAAAAATATTTTAACATGGAATGAAGAATTTTACTAATTGCACCATTCTCATTATGACATCAACTGATATGTACCTGTCTGCACCATTAAAGATTAATACATCCTGTGACAGTTATAGAGAGCTATTGTGGTATAGTGGCTTAATTATTGCACGGGGCCACTTAGACATAGAAATCCTGTGAGTAATCTTTCAGCTAAGAGGAAGGCAGTGGCAAATACTCTCTGAATAAATCTTGTCAAGAAAATCCTACAATTCTTTCACAATAAATCAGAAGTGATCTGAAAGCACAGAATGAGAGCTATACTTGGGAAACTGGGTTTATTTTGCTGTATATTTTAATTTATATCTGATAACAAAGTACTGTTGCGAACACTACAATCAACTCCTCCTCCAAGGGAAATGGGAGGATATTCATACAGATTTTGGATCCCTCCTTCTACTTAAAGTTTGTAAGCTACACACTTTCTATTAACTCACTCTCTTCAAGAGACAAAGGGGAATCTTGTTCTCTTTACTGATAAACAATTTCACTTCAAAATTTATGGAGAACTACCTCCCACTTCCTTTTTTGGGAGGCTTGTACAACACAACTATTCAGTAAGACCTTAGACTTAGGGCCCATCTCCATGGGTCACATACCATGGAGCTGCAATAGTACTGTGTGGAACTGAATTGGCCTAGTTACCGAACCCTGTTGGGAACTGTTGAATCACTACCCTTAGCTTTCCACTTTTGTCCTCAGGCTAACAATGATCACAAAATTGCTGGTGGTCATTGCTTGTCACATCCACTGAAACTGGCTGAAGTGCCAGGGCAAAGTGGGAAGGAGGAATCACTCCCTCCTCTCCCCTTCTTTGATCGTTTTGGAGCTCCAGTCAGTGTCGCTGGATGTAAGGCGTAAAGAGCACCAGCAATTTTGTGCCTGGTGGTGGCCACTGATGAGCCGTGCTGTTCTGCCATGTCCCAGTTAAAGAAACAACAGAAAACTCCAACAAGGCTCTGATATTTTAACAGAGACAGATCAAGTGCTAGATTCTTCAAAGGCTTATAGCAGGGGTCTCCAAAGTAAGGCCCACAAGCCAGATGCATCCCTCCAAGGTCATTTATTCGCCCTAAACTTTAGACTTAGGGTTGCCCTAAGTCTTAAATGACTTGAAGGCACAACAGCAACAATTTGCTGTTGTGCCTAATAAGCATGATTATCTCATCAGCCAAAAGCAGGATCACCTTCCCATTGAAATATGGTAAGTTTATGTTGGTTAAAATCGTTCTTCATTTTAAATATTGTATTATTCCTTCATGATTTTGTAAACTACAAAAAAGATGTGCAGTGTGCAAAAGAGTTTATTAATTTTTTTTTCAAACTATAGTCAACTCACCCAACAGTCTGAGGGACTGTGAACTGGCCCTCTGCTTAAAATGTTTGAGGATCCTTGGCTTATAGTTTTAGCATACATACACACACCAACCAGAATACCAGCCGGCAGTCCTAAAATATTTATTTATTTATTTATTTGCAGTATTTATATTCCGTCCTCCTCACCCTGAAAGGGACTCAGGGTAGATCACAGAACACATATACGGCAAACATTCAATGCCATTATGCACTGACAGGACAGACACACTACAGATAGAGGTGTATAGGCTTTTCTCCTATTTCAGTGTCTTGGAAGTTGTGCTCAATTCCGGACACCGGGGGGCGGGGGGGGGGGATAGCAAAGTCCAAAGTCCAAGACAGAATTCAAAACATAGCAGTCCAAGGTGTAATTCAGAATCAAAAGGCCCGATAAGATTCACTCCACAAAGCAAAGACATTGCCACCTTTGATAAGAACCTTTTACCCAAGGAAAAGAGAAAGTAAATGCCATCCCCTGTCTTCTGGCTACCTGAGCCTAGAGAAAGAGGGATAGCTGCATGAACACATTTAACCAGTTCTGAATATGAAGCAGTTAGCTGTTCATATTGTCACTAAGTGTGAGGAAACCCACAACCATTTTAATGTGGACATTGTGTTGAATGGAACCTGTGGGCTGAATCCATTTGCCCCCATCCCACCACAACTGGCTGAAGTACATGGGCCCTCGGTAATCCTTTTAATAAGAATTAAAAGTTTATTAAGTGAACTGAAGGTTCTTGTGGGTTTTTTCGGGCTATAGGGCCATGTTCTAGAGGTATTTCTCCTGACGTTTCGCCTGCATCTATGGCAAGCATCCTCAGAGGTAGTGAGGTCTGTTGGAAATAGGACAATGGGTTTATATATCTGTGGAATGGCTGGGGTGGGGCAAGGAGCTCTTCCCTGCTAGAGCTAGGTGTGAATGTTTCAGCTGATCACCTTCATTAGCATTTGAAGGCCTGCCTGAGCCTGGGAAAACCTTTTGTTGAAAGGTGTTAAGATGTGCCTGGTTGTTTCCTCTCTGCTGTTTTGCTGTTGTAATTTTAGAGTTTTTTTAATACTGGTAGCCAGATTTTGTTCATTTTCATGGTCCTTTCTGTTGAAATTGTCCACATGCTTGTGGATTTCAATGGCTTCTCTGTGTAGTCTGACACCTCTAGAACATGGCCCTATAGCCCGAAAAAACCCACAAGAACCTAGCGATTCCAGCCATGAAAGCCTTCGACAATACATTGAACTGAAGGTTTTTGGGATATCCAGACATGGAAATAAATAATAAATTCAAGAAACCATTGTAAACATAGTTTGGCACAGGCATTATTCTTCCAGTGCCTTTTAGGTTAATTATAGACAAAATATATTAGTTAATCACATACGTATCAGTTACTGTCAGAACAATTTAAAAGAAAGAAATCTCTTTTCAATTAAATTTGGTTCTGAATCGGACCATCCTTTTGAATATGACAATTCTTCATCGCGCTGTAGGAAAGTCACTGAATGATTCTCTATTGTACCCCACCCTCCACCTGCTAGTAAATGGCCATGGGTAGGAAGAATCTGAAGCAAAAGGTAACATTGGTTCTTATTTTTCAGATATTGGTATTCATGTCTAGCAAAAAAGGTCAAACATCCTTGGATTAGTTAGTCATCTGTCTTGCCATGAAAGGCAGGAGCAGAACAGATTTTTTTTTAGCATAGCTGCTATAAAAAGCAATCTTCTAAAAGTCAGTTAACTGACACAGTTGAAAGAACAGCAAAAGCAACTAGTACACAGAAATAACTTTAGGAAAAATGAAAACAGATGACAAAATGAGGATAGCTTCATATAGCCTGATGTTTATTATACTAGATGTTGGATAGGAAGGATGTTCATCCTTATTGCTAGAAATAAAAACCTTACAGGTAACAATCAATATCATTCTGCTTGTGAAGAGTACACATCCTCAGACAGAATATATCAGAGCTCCACAAACCAGGGTGAGGAATTTTGGTGTCACTCATTCTCTTTTTCCCCACAATATCTTGGAAACTCTATCTGATAAAAAATGCTTTGCAAAGATAAAAGGATCTAGTTTATGGTGCCTCGTGAAGGTAGATACTAATTTTCAGGTTGAAACCCAGCAATCATTTACTACGAGGGCTTTCATGGGAAAGAATGCAAGGATGGCCCTCTGTGCAATCTTAAAAGCAGAATTAACTTTAGGAATGAAGGCTGCAGGCAGAGAAGAGTGCAATTGGGTCTGATGATGTGCAGTTCTTCTCTTGAACAAACACAAATGGACAAAAGGACTGAGTAGAAAAGGGTTACAGCAGACATTACCCTATGGTTGTTGGTGGATGAAGAAAGAGTGAAAGGGAGAGTCTCAGAAACAGCCATTTAAGCAAATCTTTTTATATGGACTTTGATCTACTTGAATGGTGAAGCTTAACCTTTTCTTTAAATTAGTCTAACTCTAAGAGAGTCTACAGAATTCTACAATTAGCAAATGGCGTTTTTATAAAGTAAACAGACCCTTTCAAAATATTAAATTAATATTTATTTTATGTCATAAAGAAAAATATATAAATAACATTTTTCATAATAATACAGTACCGTATTCACACAGTTCTCCTTTAAATCGACCTATACAGTGCATGCGTTCAGGACACTGGCCAGTGACTGAATTACATCTGAATCCTCCATAACATTTCTTACAATATGAGGCACAGTTATAACCGTAGTAACCAAAATCACATTCTGTGTTTTTTAAAAAACAGAAATACCAATTAATTTCAATGTTCAATTAGAACAACATTCAACCAGAATTCAGAGAAAGTCAATTTATTAATGAAGCAATTAAAAGTTATCTTTTTTGAGTTTTCAAACTTTATTGAATGAAAAAAACATGTTTAACAGAAAATATGTTAAAACCTGGATTAAGAGACATTTTTCATATTGATATTGTCATTTCCGTTATAAAGCAAAACAAAATTATGGTAAGTTATAGTTTCCACTTGGACATATCATGACCCGTTAGATATAGCTGTGTAAATTCAAAAGAGACTAATACTATGGTAAAAGATGGAAAGTTGTAATAAATGTATTAATTGCCGGGGTACAGGACTATGTTTCATCACAGTTAGAGCATCTGTATTGGTTACTACAGATGACTTGCTCAGACTCTGAGCTAGGATATGATACACAACTAGAAAAAAATTATAACCATTTATAGTGCTATCCTTCATAAAACTGTTTAAATCATTTTTAAAGAAATTCAAGCTTGCAGTTATCACTGTATCTTGTGATACAAAATTTTAGTTTTATCTGTGTGCTGTGGAGAAGTTTTTTCTTATCACCTATTCAAGATTGCTACATGGTTTCATTATTGTATTACAAGAGAAGAAAAATACGCTATCCGTTTTCTCCACACCATGCATATTTTTATAAAACTCTGTCATGGTCCTCCATTTACTTGCCCTTTTTCTAGGCTAAAAAGGTATGCACAGTGAGCTTTTTCCTTACATGGAAAATTTGCATAGTATCTTGATAACTTGGATTACCCTTTCTGATGAAACATGAGTGGAGGGGAAATCAGTCCTTATAACGTGTATGGTAAAAATAGGACCAGAGTCAAGCCCTTTACTAAAAAAGAAATATTCATGTGATTTGACTCAACATTCTTTGGAGTCTCCTTTAGGAGAGGAAAGAGGGATATAAAGAAATGTAATAATTCTTTAGGAGATACAAAGTTACAAAATTGATACAAGACCAAACATATGGAAAAGGATCTTGCAGCACACTTGAAATGAACTGAGATTTTAAAAAGTCAGAATAAAATTTTGTCGACTTTAGATGCATGGTCTTGAGACAACAGACATTAGCTCAGATATGTCATTAAGTTTTATAGTAGCATACTAATGTAGTAAACAAAATGATGCAAGTAACCCTTGTTGGGTCACTGGGGGTGGTAATCCTAAGGGGACCAACTACATAGTCTGCTATCTGTTGCCTGTGATGCAAGTTGAGCAACAGAGAGGAGACTTTTCCTGTACTTTTTAAAGATAGAACATCATCTACAACACATCAGCAACAAGTAATCCAACAACAAATGACTTTCTGGACAGCAAAACATGATAAGTAAATCAGAGTAATAAGGAGTCCAGCTACTTTCATTGAAATGTTGATAATCAAAGCTGTAGTAAATGCATTAGCCAGTTATGTCCGGCATAGAGAGACAGTTCAAGACTCGATCTTTTATTTCTATATCCAATTATGTATGTTAAAGGCAGTGAAAGCTATCACTCCTTCTCTCCCTCTGCCTGTAGATCTCCATGGTACCAAAACCCTGGTTTCTTAGACAGGCAAAACAAATGGTAGTCAAAGTGAGGGGTCACTGTTGATTCTGACAGAAATCAACAGTATCCAAGATAAGTGTACCACTAGACAGAAACACAATTATAGTTTTCTCTCTCTCATAATGTTAAAAATTGGGCAAATTTAATGAAGATGGATGCTGGAAAATTCCGATACTTCAAGAACTAGTGAGTTATTGGACAGGTTTAAAAAGAAGACAAATGTATGTACGGTAAGTTTAAGAGTGCGAGGGAGACAGAGGGTCCTGTCCTTGGTCTGAAGACAGCATACTTAGGGATGCTTAGGGAATCCTTAGGGAAGAAAAACCAGCCATGGATCCAAACTTATTGATGAACATCAGCTGGTGATTGGAAGGGTGTGTGTGAAGTGTGGGTCTAAGGAAAGATTTAAGGAAAAGAGGCTGAGCTGAGGGAGGAGGGAGATGAAAGTCTGTTGAATATAACTGTAATGTGATGGCAATAAAGAATTGTTGTGAATACTTTAACAACTTGCTGGCTTCGCCTTGTGTTTATCTTACTCACAGCAGAGGAAAAGCATGCATGCCAAAGTTTATGCCATGCCTCTGCCAAAGGAAGAGGGAAAAACCTCTCACAGCAAAGATATCAACTGCCATTAGTTTTAACAGTTATATAATAAAGAATCATAAGCAATATGTTCTTGAATACTAGAGAACATAACAGGAGACGCTACTGCATTCATGTCTTATCATGAGGTTAGTTCCTATAACCATTTAATTTAGTAATATATGTCAAGGATGCTGAACCAGACAGATCTTTGATCTGAGTCAGCAAAGGTCTTCCAAGTTTTCACAAGTTTAGATTTCAGCTGAAAGGAGATAATGAAAAAGGTATACGAAAAATGTTAGAAATAAAACAGAAATACATTTTGTACCATTTAAAAATATTTACATTAAAATATGAATACAGAAACATAGTTAGATAAATCTAACCTCTTAAATCATTTTTGTAAATATTTTTACAAAATATATTTACGAAGTATTTTGATGATCTTCATTTCAATTATATGAACATACCTCGTCTCACAAATGAAGTTGCAGTTTCCTCATAAGAAATAATTGTATCAATGCCTTTTGTTCTTCTGAAGTATTGGTAGTCCTGCACTATCCCTGTGCAGTTTGGTTCCTTTAAGCAGTCTAGTACAGCATTGGACAGAAGAATATAAAATGATGTATGTAATGGTCCTGACAAAAATTGATCAGTATAGACATCAAAAAGGTCACTCGCTGAGTAGAAGAGGAAAAAAGAAAAATCTTTACTTTTCACTCTAACACCAAAATGCATGTGTTGAGCTATTGCTGGCAGCTCCCTGGGATCAGTCAAGACCAAACATTGATATTTTTGGTAACTTTTTTTGCAAGTAGACAGCACAGAGATGGTTGGCATACAGAAGGGTGAAGCACACATGTGGTGAGCATATATTTTAATATAATCATTCTTATGAATCAGAGTTGGAAGAAACCCCAAATATTATGTAATCCAACCCTTTGTCATGCAAAAATACACAATGAAAACACTCCCAACAAATAGTCATCCAGCCTTGGTTCAAAACTGCCAGAGAAGTTTCCACCATGCTCCAAGACAATGTTCAACTCCTGAACAGCTCTTACAATCAGGAACTTCTTCCTAATGTTTAGGTGCAATCTTTTTTTCCTGCAGTTTCAATCAGATCCTTTCATATGTACTGTTTTCAAGCAAGATGTTACCCATCCTGTATCACTGCTTTTCCTTTTTTTCTGCCTAAGTGTAGTACATTACTAAATTTAGGAAGAAGTGTAGTAAGGTACTACACTTTTGACCTGTTGAAATTCATGTTGTTAGTTTTGACCCAGCTCTATAATCTGTTAAGGTCATTTTGGTTTCACATCCTTTCCTTGGGGTATTACCTATCACTCCCAATTTGGTGTCATCTGCAAATTTGATAAGCATACATTTTTTTATTTCATCATACATCTGTTGTGGCTCAGCCTGAGCATGGATTTTCTGAGCCTGAGTTTCCTCAGGACGAGGATGATGGGTTACAGATTTCTGCATATGTCCCTGTTGTTGAGGCAGATAGTGTTGATTTTGAAGCACCTCAGTTTCCCAGGGAAAGGAATGTTGTTTTAGAAGACATTCATGATTTGGATTCACAGCTGCAGGTGGAGGAGTCGACTGGCCCTTCTATGAACTCAGGGCCTATCGATTCCCAGACAGGCCAGTCAGAAAATAATGAGGGACCCGGCCTTGAAAATAATGAGGACCTGTGTAGGGAGGACTGTTTGCAATTAAGGTTACGCCGAAGCACTCGGCTTGCAAACAAGCAGGAACTTTGGGGGCAACGTAATGCTTTCATGCTAGCAAAGCATATTTAATGATCTGTTTGAAGGCAACTCTTTGTCAGAGTATCTTCACTCACACCCTGTGAACTTCCTTGAAATCTCCTCGGCTTTCAGGAAAAACTGTTAGCTCTTTGGGACTTTGCTTTTGGATCTTCGTTCCTGGGACTTTGCCATGATGCCATGGATTCTGGTTTGACCAATGCTTGTGGATTATATTCATGTTATTGGCTTTTGGACCTTGGAAGCTTTGCCTTGCATGTAAATTCCTGTTTTGACTTTTGAACTTCAGCAACCATATTTCTATGTTTTGATTTTACCTTTCTTCAATAAATTACAAAACCTACAGCCCTGGTGTGTGGTGTTGTTCTGAGCAAGGTGAATCTATCCTGAGTTGCAACGTCATTAATAAAGATGTTGATTAGCACTGGGCCAAGGACAGAACCCTGTGGTCACATAGGGATGCAGAGGAGCGTTTGGCAAACATTAGTGGATCAACCAATAACAAATCCAACTAACAGTAGCATTGTCTACCACACTGATTATCTTTGGCAAAACTGAAGCAAGGCCCACTGAATAGGTTGGCTTGGTATGTTGTTCAAGGGATGCAGGCTGTAACTGAGGTGAACAGGCCAAGCACTGTGATAAAAACAGGACATCCTAACGTAACATCACAAGGAAAAATTAAGAAACTGTTGGTGAGTTAATCAGGACATAGAGATAAGCCTTTTTAAGTCCAGAAAGATACATCAACATCAATACCAACATTTTCTTATAAACTATTTCATCTGCTCCCAAATCTAATATGGCTCCTCAAGAACCCTTTTGTTCAAGACCAAAAATACTGATCAGCAGTTTCTGATTTTTTTTAGAAGATGACACTTTACCAAATAGAACAATTGCTTCTAGGAAGAGACAATGTGCATCTTGGATCTTGAGGAGGAAATAAAGAAACCATTAGTATGCCATTCTCTAAGAGTGATTAGCATCCATTTGTCTATAGCTGAACACTTCCACAATATCTAAAGCCTTTCCTCTACATCAGGATTCTAAGAATTGCTACCACCTGTTGGGAGTTTTGGGAAGATTGATTTCCAGAGTTGGTTTTTATGTTCATCCTTGTGAGGCACTAAAATGCTTTTGGATCAGCAAGAACAGTTGGAGTTACAAATTGAAATTTGATATCTATAGAAGAATAGAAGCTGCCAACAGGGTTTCTCTCTTATTCATTTTTTGTTTTTGTTTTTTTGCAACCAAGACTTTCCTTTTGTCTTTAATTTCAATGAGCGCAGGCATTAGAGAACCCCAAAATAAAGAACCCCACATGCTTTCTGAGGTACATTTTTCACATTTTCTGCATAGACAGGAGAAAACCAGTGTGAGGAAAGGCACAACTACAAAGAGAACTTTTACTTCTCTCATAACATGTCAGGAAAATTATAGAAATTTCTCAGAGAGGATGGATTTGCCCTCCACGTGGCAAGCTTGCTGCAAACCTACCCCACACAAACATAAAGTTTGATGAGGAAGCCCTCTTCTTCTTAATAGTAACTTGTCTAATCCACCAAACCATTTGTTGTTGTTGTTCATTCGTTCAGTCGTCTCCGACTCTTCGTGACCTCATGGACCAGCCCACGCCAGAGCTCCCTGTCGGCCGTTACCACGCCCAGCTCCCTCAAGGTCAGTCCAGTCACTTCAAGGATGCCATCCATCCATCTTGCCCTTGGTCGGCCCCTCTTCCTTTTGCCTTCCACTTTCCCCAGCATAATTGTCTTCTCTAGGCTTTCCTGTCTCCTCATGATGTGGCCAAAATGTGTTTATTTTTCTTCCATATGAAGGTCCTTGGTTTGAACATGTGAAGAAGGATACACGTGAAACCTTCCATCCTTCCATATATAAAGAACATCTTAGTATCATTAAACCAAGAACAACAAAAAGATTTTAAGGGAACTTACTTTCCAGCCTCTTACAAATCCATTTATGCTTTTTATCACAGTCAAGCCTCAAAGTGGTATGGTTAGCTGAGGCAAGGCCCACACATCTTCCAAAAGGGCTTCCAGACAGTCTCAACCTAAATACAAAAACTCATGACTGATGGATGACAAAAATATTTTAGCTATAGGAAAAGTACTCACTTGTAATAGCCTTTAGTGTGACACATCAAAGTCTCAAAGTAAAGTTATGCAACTGTCAGAGTTTTCAAAGTTGGACACATTGTGGGCCTTGCATATGAGTGAAGCTATAGCCATAGGGAAATTCTAGTCATTCCAATTCCTGTGGTATACCTAAAGCCTCTCATAGATAAGGAGCTGCCCACAAGATGGCAGATGGGTGAGAGATGCTGATCTATAATTCATTTCCAAGAATCATAGAATCATAGAATCAAAGAGTTGGAAGAGACCTCATGGGCCATCCAGTCCAACCCCCTGCCAAGAAGCAGGAATATTGCATTCAAATCACCCCTGACAGATGGCCATCCAGCCTCTGTTTAAAAGCTTCCAAAGAAGGAGCCTCCACCACACTCCGGGGCAGAGAGTTCCACTGCTGAACGACTCTCACAGTCAGGAAGCTCTTCCTCATGTTCAGATGGAATCTCCTCTTTTGTAGTTTGAAGCCATTGTGGATTGTGGATGTTTTTTCCTCTTCCATTGTCAGAGGCATGGCATAAGCTTGGGAATGGATGATTAAGTAAGCTAAACATAAAATAATAGCCTTCAAGCAGAAGCCAGCAAGCTGTTAAAATTACTCACAATAATCCTTTATAGTCTTGCATCACATTTAAATGGCCACCCATCTCCCTTCCTCCCTCTCTGTTCAGCTTCTTTTTTTCCTCATCCCCCAGTCCCACCGTTCTCATCTTCCCAACCACCCAGCTGACACACATCAACAAGTCTTGTTCCACTGCTTGTTCCTCTTCCCTTAGGATTAAAGGGAGCATGCTGTCTTCAGACCAAAGGTACCTTCTGACTCCCTCATACTCTAACATAGGCAATATTGAAAATCTACATGCTGCACATGTCCTTCACTGAACCTTATCGGACTGAAGTCCAACCCATTCATTTTTAATTACTTTTTTAAAAAATCCCATGCAACTCCCTGTATTTATTCTAGCTTCAAATATATCAATTCCAAAGCTATGTGCGGATTTGGGACATTTGCGACTTATTAGTGTTTTTGAAAGTATAGGAGCCTTTTTGGATAAATAGTGAAGTAATATGACTTAAATAGGAAGCACAGCAATTCATTCTCCCTCTATCCAGACTAAGTTGGCCTTGGAGGTTATCAATATATACACATTTAAATTATTTCAAACTTATCACTATATTTTAAAAAAAGAAGCTCCAAATACATAATCCTACAAGCCCTTTACAATGAATGCCATGTTTCAGGTAATTGGATTTTATGATCTCCAAGCCATCATTATGAGGCAGGGACTGAAAAAAATCATTCTCTCTCTATTATTATTATTATTATTATTATTATTATTATTATTATTAAATCAAATATGATATGAGATGGAATCCTGCTGGGCAGTTATGAAGGTGTAACCTAGGCCCCATCTACACTGACCATTTAATGCAGTTTCTTACTTACTTAGGCGATCCCTCGTTGTCCGAGTAGGATAATCCTCCAGGGTGGGTCGTAGGTGACTATGGAGCCCTATTCTTGATCTGCATCATCTCCCGCAGTGAGAGCATTGGTTTCCAGGTGGAAGGCGGTCCCGGTGGGGGTTGGCTTGACGTGCCTTCCTCCTGGCACGTTTCTCTCTTTCACCCTCCATTCGTGACTCTTTAAATTCTGCAGCTGGAGTGCTCAAGGGCCAGGGCTTCCCAGTTCTCAGTGTCTATGCCAGAGATTTTAAGGTTGGTTTTGAGCAGAATTTTCGGAAGCAGCGCTGATGGAATCATTCTAAGAGTTGCATGTGACGTCTGTAGACTGTCCATGTTTCACAGGCATATAGCAGGGTTGGGAGGACAATAGCTTTATAAACAAGCATCTTGGCATCCCTACGGATGTCCCGGTCCTCAAACACTCTCTGCTTCATTTGGAAAAATGCTGCGCTCGCAGAGCTCAGGCGGTGTTGTATTTTGGTGTCGATGTTGACTTTGGTGGAGAGGTGGCTGCCAAGGTAGCGGAAATGATCAACATTCTCTATTGTTACACCATTAAGCTGTATCTCTGGCATTGAAGAGGGGTTGGCTGGTGTCTGCTGGAACAGCACTTTGGTTTTCTCGATGTTCAATGACAGGCCGAGCTTCTCGTATGCTTCTACGAAGGTGTTTAGAGTGGCTTGTAGATCTTCTTCTGAATGCGCACAGACGACATTGTCATCAGCATACTAGAGAGCTATAACAGATGTTGTTGTAACCTTGGTTTTGGCTTTCAGTCTACTGAGGTTAAATAGCTTGCCATCTGTACGATAGATGATTTCCACTCCGGTGGGAAGCTTCCCATCAACAAGATGAAGTATAATAGCAATAAAGATGGAGAATAAAGTTGGGGCAATAACGCATCCCTGTTTGTCACCTGATTCCACCTTAAATGGGTCACTCTGGGAGCCACTGCTGTCCAAGACTGTTGCCATCATGTCATCATGGAGGAACCACAGGATGTTCACAAATTTGTTAGGGCACCCGATTTTTTGGAGGATGGTCCAGAGAGCGCTGCGATTCACTGTGTCGAATGCCTTTGCAAGGTCAATGAATGCCATGTACAAAGGTTGGTTTTGTTCCCTGCATTTTAATTAGAGCTGTCGTGCAGTGAAGATCATGTCCACTGTTCCTCTGGAGGGGCAGAAGCCATTCTGGGATTCTGGAAGGGTGTCTTCTGAGAGGAATAGAAGGCGGTTTGCAAGGATTCTTGCGAGGATTTTCCCAGCGGAGGTTAGAAGGGAGATACCTTGATATTTTCCGCAGTCTGTTCTTTCCCTTTTGAAGAGGGTGATGATGGTGGCATCCTTGAAATCTGCTGGGATTTTCTCGGTCACCCACACTTTTTCTATGAGCTGGTGGAGTTGTTGTGTCAGCTCAGGTCCTCCCTCTTTAAAGATTTCAGCAGGGATCCCATCAGGTCCACTGGCTTTGTTATTTTTTTGTTGCCTGATGGCATTGCTGACTTTTTACAAACTAGGCAGTGCTGCAAGCTCATTCTGGCTTGTTGTTGCGGGATTTGTGAGAGAACCTCTTCGGCCACATTGGAACTGCAGTTCAGGAGGCTTTGGTAATGTTCTTTCCAACGTAGTGCAATTGATTTTTTGTCCTTCAGAAGTTTGGTTCCATCTGATGAGCGTAGAGGCTGTATGCCATGGTTTCTTGGTCCATAGATGACCTTTTTGGCTTTGAAAAATCCCTGAGCATTATGGGTATCTGCCAGGTGTTGGATTTCTTCAGCCTTCTATGTCTACCAAATGTTCCTGAGTTCTCTTGTCCTTCTTTGGATCTCAGCTTTTGCACTGGAATAGATCTTTTTCTTAGCAGCACAGTTGATGTCTCTCTGCCATGTTTGGAAGGCTTTCCTTTTCTTGTAAATTAGCTGTTGGCTCTCGTTGTCATTTTCATTAAACCAATCTTGGTGTTTCTTGGTCTGATATCCAATAGCTTCTTCGCAGGCTGTGATGATGGAGGTCTTCAGTTTGTTCCAATGTTCCTCAACATTTTTGGGGTATTCTGTGGGTAGATGGTCCTTGAGTGCTGTTTGAAGATGTGCTCGTTTTGAGGGTTCCTGAAGGGCTTGGGTGTTCATTTTGTGCCTTGTCTTTCTTCCTTGGAGTCTGCGCTTGGGGGAAATCTTGATAGCCGTCGTGGATTGGATTAGCCTGTGGTCTGTTCAGCAGTCATCAGCACCTGTCATGGCTCTTGTGAGAATGCAGTTTCAAACTGGTATTGAAGAAAGTGAATTCACTGTGCATATGATTATTCTGGAACCAGTTGGAGGCCTGGAAGATCATTACACAAACCGCAGAGCGCATTAAGGACTTTCTTTTACATATTTTCATGGGAATCTGTTGACTGGCTAACACAGTTTGAAACTAACTTTGAACTGCATTAAGTGGTCAATGTAGATGGGGCCCTAGTTTTCTATTCACAACCCCCATGTACTTATTACTTTAGGGAGTATGAAAGTCCCACAACCCCCACTGATTGGGAACCAGGTGCTACAATGAAGGGGTGCTGTTCCCCTGTTGACTGAGAAAAAAACTGGCTAATGGACCCCCTTCCGCCTCAGCAAACCATGTCTGGCAGGTGGGAAGGGGGATTGCAATAGGGTCTGTGCTTTTGCCTGTTGTGTTAGAAATTGCTCATAATGTTTTCTAGAAAATAGCCTCCATTGGATGGGTTTAAATTTTCCATTGCCAAGTTAAATAATAATTGACTGTACCAGTTTAATTCTTTAGCTGCTGATTTCATGTCTGACCAAACCCATTTAGATTTTTGTTTCCTGCTATTCAATCCTGTCCACAAAATTTCAAATGTATATAAAGAGAATATCCAGTCCTGCCAAAATAAAAGAATGAAATATTTGAGAATGCAAAAATATTGGAAGGAACTTGCAAAACTCCTTCTGAGTGTAGTTGAGAGGCACACATACATTCAAAAGTATTTTCCTTTAATACAGGGATGGGTATGGCTGGAGAGTCAAAGAGCCAATTTCATTGCTCTCTGTCTCTTTTAAAATGTCTTCCCAAGACCTCTGGAAGTGAGAAAAACATTTCAAGAAGTGGTAGCCATGCTTCTCCTGTTCAAAGAAGCAGGGGATTTATGGCTGCACATTCTCTCCTTCTACAAGTAGGGAAAGCACGGTTTATGGCTCTTTCAAAGTGCCAGCACCCAGGACCTCTGGAAGGAGGCAAGATGTTCTAAGAAGATCCTGCAAGCATACCATACTGTTCCCTAATGTAAAGATTTGAGTGGGCAGAAAGGACAGATAAATATTGGATTTTTACAGTCCAATTGCTATGTTTATGAAAGCCACAGTAGAAACTGCTCTGTGCTACAAATAAGCAGAAACCTCAGAACACATCAACCATAGGAAAGCCCACAGGATACTACATTAAAGTCATCCATAATGAAAAACAGTTACAGAATATCTAAGAGACCAAAGAATTGGCCTGGTGGAATTTTAGCTAGGGAACCTAACATATGAATTCTATATATTATCTTTCATAATACACAATCCGTTGGGTATTTGCATTAGGACCATGTCATTTGTGGTTGCTGTGAAAGCAAAACTCTTAAACAGATTATCTAATAGAGAATCAACACAGAGTTATTGCAGTGACAGGTAAAGTTAGTCAAATGCAATAAAACTAGCATTCAAAGTGTTTTTTAAAGTCAATTACCATTTACTGTTTATTAATTTACAAATTATGTTTTTCCACCAGTTAGTCAAGTGTACACATAAAACTATATAAATTCAGTCATCAAACCCAAAACCACATTATCTGTACGTTACCTCTGTAATATATCAATACCATTTCACTTTGGCTACTTATCCACATGAGGTCTGTACTTCTGAATCTTCTACACTGTTTCCGAGCATCTACCCAGCTGGCTTCAGGCTCTGTACTGAAGTAATAACAGTGGCTTCCCCAGTATCTCCAACCAGAAAAATGTGGACACCACTCACTGTGCAGAGCTGATCAAAATACAAGTTTTTAAAAAGGTACAGATTGAGTATCTCTTATATGAAATACTTTGGACCAGAAGAGTTTTAGATTTCAGATTGGAATACCTGTATTTTTATATGTTTAGATAATGAGATGGGACTCTAGTCTGGGAGATGGGACCCAACCTAAACACAATATTCATTTATGTTTCATATAATGTCCTGAAGGAATGCTATATAATATTTTAAATAATTTTGTACACAAAATGTACATTTAACCAGCAGAAAGCAAAAGTCTTACTATCCCAACCATCCATGTAGATAGTTCTGGAGTATTTCATATTATGGAATCATGGATATGGTATATTGGGTCTGTTTAACAGTGTAGCAATATGCTCAGCCTGTACTATTTCAGCTAAATTCTAGCAATATTATACAGAAATTCCTTGTGGCTCATTATATGGCTATCTTCAATGGTGACAGATCTTTTTGGTTAGGATCTATCACAACATATTAATTTTGACATTTGTAAATGCAAATGCTGCTTTAAGTCTCCTTTGTGCATACATCTCTTTCTCTCTCCACAAAAGAGACTCAACGTGGCATTTGCATCTACAAATGTCAAAATTAATATGCTATAATACAGGGTTTCTCAAACATTTTCAGCCGTGGAAAAAGTTTGAGAAAGCAAACGTTTCTCATGGAGCCCCAATAAATATTTATATATTATATATTTTATATATTGTGTGTGTGTGTGTGAATTTGACAGATGGGCTGGCGGCCAGAGGCAAATGGATGGAGAGTGTTGTGTGAACTAATTGAAAACAAATGAACAAATACCTATGCACACAGCACATATCTTGTTTGTAATACAAAAAAGGAAAGAAAGAAAGAAAGAAAGAAAGAAAGAAAGAAAGAAAGAAAGAAAGAAAGAAAGAACAATACAATATTTAAAATTAAGAAGAATTTTAACCAACCTAAACTTAATAGCATTTCAGTGGAAGACCCCAGGGGACATCCAGTCAACCCCCTATGCCATGTAGGAAAAGCACAAAGTGCCTATGGCAGATGGCAATCCAGCCTCTGTAGTAACAGTAGGAGTAGTAGTAGTAGTAATAATAGTTATAGGAACAACCACAGGGGCCATGCAGTCCAACCCCTTCCTGCCATGCAGGAAAAGCACAATCAAAGTACCCCCAGGCTAGGTGGTTACTAGGAGCAACCACCTAGCCTTTGTAGTAGTAGTAGTAGTAATAGGAAAAACCCAAGGGGGCATCCAGTTCAACTGCCTCTTGCCAGGAAAAGCACAATCAAAGCAACCCCTGAGCAGTGGGAGGGAAATAGGAATTTGGAAGAAAAAAAAGAGGAGAGGGTCTGGGTGTCAAGGAAAAAATAATGGGCAATGAGGGAGGAGGGAAAATAAGGGTCTGCACCCCGGGAGGACACTGTTTTGGCAGCTCCAAACTTTAATTCCCCTGCATCTCTCACAGGGAGGAAGAGGAGGAAAGAGGAAGAGGCAGGAGGCAGCATGGCATTGTGGAGCCCCTGACTATCAGTCGTGGAGCCTCATGGGCTCCACAGAGCACAGTTTGAGAACTCCTACTGTAATAGATTATGATGATGATTATGATAACGATGATAATAATAATAATGTTCTATTAAAAACTATAATGTGGAATAAAACTTATGGTCAGTGTAGTTGGATCCTGTGAGATCTCACTGTTGCTAAAATCGTGATCTTTCATTCTATCATTCAATGATCGGAAAACTGTATCGCTTTAGTTGTGGATGTTTTCAAGAAAATGTTATTCTGAATATATGGTTAGCTTATGAATGTACATATAAAACTAGCACATGTTCATATTCTATGGGACTTCTTTCCCTTTTTTTCTTTCTTTCTATTTGGCTTTTAAAAATCAGTTTATAATATAAAGACAATAATAGCTAACATAAGAAAAAACGAGGCAAAGTTTGTCACATACACTTAGAAAAAACACACTAGAAATACTACCATTAGCACTAATTGAGGTAGCACAAACTGTTTACAGCACATTTTGCATTACACAATCTGCTTTTTCTGTCTTTTTTGCACTTATGTGTTTGTTTCAATACCTCGTTCACAAACAGCAGGTGAATCCTGAGATCTACATGAATGGAAATTGTCGCAAGTTCCAGTGTAAGGATTGCACAGTTCATCACCATAACACCTACTGCATACAGAGGAACAGTTTACTCCAAAGTAGCCAAAGGAGCAATCTACAAAAAAAGAATTAAAATGTGATGGTACCATTATTGTTTACTCTTCCTAATTCCTAGCAAATGTTTTAGTATTCTGTTCACTCCCACAATCCTTTTAAGGCACATGATTAATAATATAACATGATTTTAAATAAAAGGGAAATTCGGTAGGTGAGTACTAGACCTAATTACGCACATAATGCCTTAATGTTAATTTGGCCCTAATGTCAAATGCCATGAAAAAAATAGAAGAAACTGTCGTCATCACATTCTGTTCTCAAGCGTCAGTAGGATCTGGTTGGCCTAAAGAAACAGCACACTGGATGAGACATATGCAAAGGCATTTTTTGCAAGGCAATTTTAATACTCTTATAAATGTGTGGGGTCTTGATTTATGGGAAAGTCACAATTTCTCTTACTATATCAATTTAAAGAAACTACAGGGGAAAGATGGCCTCCTTCCTCATTTCCAAATGAGTTCATACACCCTGAATTAGAATGCAGTTTTGAGTAAAGCTATGGGAGAGCTCAGTAGAGAAGTAACAACAAGTCTAACTTGTTTTCACAATTACTATTTTCACTGACAAATAATGACATTATTAAATTCCTCACTTCACTACACCAGGCTCTCCCAATCACATATCTTATCACCGAAACATTTTCTGGAGATTTTTTAAGTATTACAATTACAACAATAAACTGGACATGATATCTAAACAAAATGATTCATGCAAAAATGTAGTTACTACTTTTATTTCTTTCAACAAAGAAATCTGACTCCTCATTTAAGATTCACTCATTCATATTCTTATTGCATCTATCAGAAATTCAGCTTTTTTCTCCAACTGAAAATGGCATGGGTGGTGGATCACATAATGTAGGAATTTGATTGTATGAGCTGGAAATTATAGAACATTTGAAATGCTAAGCCAACCTGATTTCACATATGCTGCAGACAACCTCTCCTCATTTTTTACCAAGGCAGTTCCTCTGGCAAGTGCATAGGATTTATTCCAGACACTGATCCCTGTACACTGTTCTCTAAGTTCCAAACATGCTGTCTTTGCAGAAATTAAATCTGCATGCACTTGGGATGGAGAGCCTGGTGGTGACAAAAGCACCTTTCCTACATGTTCTTGATACCGATCAACATCTATAATCGGGAAAAAAATCCAAAATATAGCCAGCTGAAAAAAAGCTATACACAAGTAGTGGCAGTAGCAATTACTTATTTATTAAAATATTAATATTCCACCTGCAGCACACAAAAATCATTTTAATCAACAATATAAAACAATAAGGTATAATGTAAACAGACTAAAAGCATACAGACTACTTTGAAAGATTAAAACAAGTCAATTAAAATCAGCTTAAAAATTTAAAATGATAACCCATGTGCAGACTTTCATAAAATCAATTAGACACACACACCCCTCCCCCAAGGGCTTTATTAAAAATCCCTTTTTGATTTGGCACTGAAATTGCATAGGCATAGTCCTCTAAGAAGAAAATATTAACAGAATCACAGAATCTTAAGAATTGGAAAGGACCACAAGGACTAGTCAGGAACACAAAACTACAGCACTTTGAGAGAGGTCATCCAGCCTCTGAAGACCTCCAAAGATCTTGGAGGTCCCACCCCCATGGCAATCAATTTCATTGTTGAACAGTAAAAACCGTCTTCCTGGTGTTTAGGCTTGTTTCTTGTAAATCCACTGGATCATATTCTAATCTTTGGAGCAACAGACAACAAGTTTGCCCTAGATCATCCCTTCATGTATCTAAAGACAACCATCATACCACTATTTAGTCCTCTCTTCTCCAACATACTCCAGCTATGTGAGTAGGAAAGAATGAGGTACCGAAGGAAGGAAGAAGAGAAAGGGAAGAAAAGAAAAAGGGGAGGAAAGGCAGGAAAGAGGTAAAGAAGGAAGGAGAAAAGGAAATAAAAAGTGAAAGGAGGAAGGAAACAGAGAGGAGAGGAAGGAGAGGAAGGGGGAGGGAAGGAAGGAATGAAAGAAAGAAGTAGAGAAGGAAGAAAGGAGAAAAAGAGAAGGGAAAGAAAAAAGTGGCAAGGAATAGGTAGGTACCTCTCTTTCATAACACTCCATATAGCTACCTCTACTTCAAAAATTCTTACTACAGGCCACAGCAACATGTGGCAGGGCACAGCTAGTACTCTATAATAGACACACACATGTAAATTAAAAACCAGTTCAGCACTATTTTCATTGGGCAAGTTCATTTTATATTGATATTGTACTCCTCTTGGTGCAGCCTAGAAATGCATTGGTTTTTTTAGTTGCAGCATAGATGATGCACTTTATTTACCCATTTCAAACTGGTTTCAAAGCAGGATACGGAATTGAGATGGCTTTGGCCATCTTGGTGGACAATACAATTCCAAGCCTTGGTTTGACAAGGAATGTGTCAATGCCAACACTCACTACCACCTATTAGGCATATAAATCCAACATTACAGCAACATTTGCATGGGACCTTCTTTAACAGAAGAGATGCTATAAGCAATTGTTGGCTCACAAGAAGTAATGGTTGCTTATCTGTAACTGTGTTTCCACAAGTGGTGATCTGTGCACTCAGATTGGAATCTTCTCGAAAGCTCTTGATACATTTTGGTGGAAGACCCGTCCACTCTCCACATAGAGCAGGGGTCCTCAAACTTTTTAAATAGGGGGACAGGTCACAGTCCCTCAAACTGCTGGAGGGCTGGATTATAATTTGCAAAAAACATGAATGAATTCCTATGCACACTGCACGTATCTTATCTGTAGTGCAAAAAATACTTTAAAACAATACAATAATTAACATGAAGAACAATTTTAGCAAATATAAACTTAATAGTATTTCAGTGGGACATGTGGGCCTACTTTTGGCTGATTAGATAGGATTGTTGTTGTTGTTGTGTGCTTTCAAGTCATTTCAGTCTTAGTTTGACCCTGAGCAAGGGTCAGGTAAATGACCTTGGAGGGCCGTATTTGGCCCCTGGGCCTTAGTTTGAGGACCCCTCCCATAGAGTATATAGCCAGTGGGAGAGGCTACTGCCTCAGTTCCTCTACCGCAGAATAGCAGTTTGAAGGACCGAGGCATGACAACAGCAGGGAGGATGTGTGGGGATGTGTGAATTTCACAGATCAGCACTTGAAGGAAAACGGTTACAGGTAAGCAACCATTACTTCTTCATCATAGTGTCTGTGATTGCTCTACCAAAGGCCGCATCTTTCCGAGAAAGAGCATCAACTTTGTAATAAAATTCTAACAGCTGGAAAACTGGCTGGGATTTCTGGGAGTTGTAGGCCAAAACACCTGGGGACCCACAGGTTGAGAACCACTGAGTTAGTAGGTGAATGGGGAAAAAAGCTAACAGTATAGTGGCAGGACAAAACAGCAGCCATGAAAATGATGGTTCACCCAAAGCCTTGCTATTTATATAAGGGAATATTTGTTCCAATTTCATATATCTTTCCTCCAGCAAGCATGGTGTACTGGTTTGGCAATTGGACTAAGATTTTACTTTTTCTGATTGTCTAGGAGCGAGGAGGTTGGATACAGTGGCTAAGGGTGGGTGGACATCTGCTCTCTCTTCTCCACAGATTGATCCTAGATTTATCCATGGGTCATATTAAAATCCATAATTTTGCAACCAAAACCTGCCCTCAATTTATACATGAGGTTGACATATACATGAGTATAGTAGTTGAAGCTGAATTCTGATATGGATGACCTGTAGGCTAGCGATTCTTAGACTTGGGAAATGGGTAATTTATCTGTTCTGGATGGAGTTGCACTCTTCCTGAAAGGGCAAGTTGATAGCTCAGGAGTATCCCTAGATCTGTCACTGGAAGCCAAAGTAGACTCTATGACTTCAGCTGGTCTGCCAGCTATAATAGTTTCTGGACAGAGATAATCTATCCAGAGTACTTTATGCACTTTTAACTTTCTAATTAGACAACTTGAAGATTATTCAAGCTGCAGGTATAGGCAGTATAGGCAGACTGTTCATGGGAACACTACATAGAAATCATACACTGATCTTAAAGTTAGTTATTGACTGTTAGTGCTTCGGATCTGATTTCATGGTGCTGGTGATGATATTATAAGTCAGGCCCTCTGTTTAAAAAGTTTGAAGGCCCCTGTTCTAAGTCCTAAACGGCTTCAGAAACCCTATATGCACCACCTTCATGAAGTTTTCTGGAGTGATTAACCTCTCTTCCCCATAGGTAGCAACGCTATAATGTGGGAGGTTATGGGAGAGAGGCTCCTCTGGTCTGACATCCTGGTTACAGAATAGCTTCTCCTTAGAAGGCCAACTGGCCAACATGGCTGACATACCAGCACAAAGTAAAACCATGTTTTTATTAAAGCCTTTGAAGCCTGATTTACTCCAAATCTGCAAACATGCAGGGTTTTAAACTATTTTACCCGGTTTAAACTGGCTTGTTTTAACATATTAGATTTTTAAATACACCAAAAATCTGTTTAAAAATATTTTAAATTGGATAAATCAATTTTATCCTTTTCTATTTTTACATCTTCAAACATAGGAATATAAATAATGTCATTTTAAAAATATAAACAAATTGGTGGCTTTGGTCAAAAAACTGTAAATGCCAAAGATACAACACCTTCTAAAATGTATTTATAAAGAGGGGGGGAGGAATAGGTAGTGAAAGTAAGAGTAATGGCACAGAATGTCTGATCCGATACCATTTGCAGTATGTAGGTCTCAGCAAGTGACAAATTTCAGATGTCCACTTCTGTTATTTAACTCTGATGTGTTGAGGAAAAAAATAATTTTCCAGTCTAAGTCATCCTAACATAACCATCCAAAAATTAAAGCCAAGTATAGAAGTATACTCACCAGCATTTCGTTTGCAGATCCAGTGGGCTTTCGTATTACAATTCAAAGCAACCAAGTTGAGTTTTAAAATTTTCACACAGTACACAGTATTTTTCTTGATTGTGTGAGATAGCTGAAGCCTTTCCCATTCAATTGTAATAAAACAAAACAAGAAGAGAAACCCCTGAAGAAACTGTTGCAATCTACATGACTGCAAATAAAATATGGTTATTGAACAGCTGATATTAATAACCATGTCTTCCTTTTGTTCCAGTTTTCCACCTTCTCATAATAATAATGGCTCATGGTTGGATGGCATATTGCAGTAGACAATGCAAAGGCACACAGAGAAAGAAAAACCGAAACTTCTTTTCAATACACTGTCATGCTTAAATCAGAAAGAAAGCAATACAGAAAATCCAACCTACACTAGCTTCACAAATTTTATTACTTCTTTTCCACCTCCGTGTTCTCCCCTACCTTCCCACTGCTTTAATTGATGCCCTTGACATTTGTTCGTAAGCATCAGAACTATAGAGATGAAAGCCCTTGGCTCTGTGTGAGACCATCTGTTCTGTATGGCAAGCAAGGAAGCATGCCTGGGCTCTAGACCAGCTTTGCCCTTCCAGGATAGGTAAAGGGATCTCCCTGTCAGGAAAATGTATCTACACACACATCTATTTGGAACCAGTGTGGTAAAGGGGCTCCAGTATTGTATGTGAGCCAGTGTGGTGTAATATTTTTGGTACTAGACTATGGCTCTGGAGACCAGGGTTCAGATACAGCCATGGAAACCGATTGGATGACCTCAGGCAAGTCGCACACTCCCCGCCTCTGAGAAAGGCAAAGACAAACCGTCCCTTTACCCTTTACCTTTAGGCTCACACACACACACACACACACACAGAAAGAATATCTATTATCCAGAAATCTAGAAGTATCCTTTATTCCTTATCTGTTCCAAAATTCAAAATTGTCCACTTGAATAGCTGAGATAGGGACACCCTTTCTTTATGACAGCCCAATGTACATAAGCTCTTTGAAGCAGAAACTTATTAAGCATATTGTATAGAATTACATTCACCTTGTACAGGCTACCTGTACAAGGTGGATATGAAACATAAATAAAATTTGTATTTAGACTTGGGTCCCATTTCCAAGATTATTATGAATGAGGGATGTTCAAGTCAAACCAGAATTTTTAATTTTACAGATATAAAAATTGTTGCTAGCGTGGTAGTACTATATACAGCAGTAAGTGGCTAGTGTGTCCTATTACTGATAAGCAGAACACATGCCATTTGCCAATTACTAGCCAATCATATCTAGAGAGCTAGTGATGGGCTGTGGTTCATGTTAGATTACGGAACCTTCCACACAGCTGAATAAAATCCCACATTACTGCTTTGAACTGAGATATATGGCAGTGTGGAGTCAGATATTCCAGTTCAAAACAGATATTGTGAGTTATTCTGCCTTGGTATTCTGGGTCATACAGCTGTGTGGAAGGGCCCCTATAACTCTGGAAACAAGGGTTTAGCCATCAGAACGCACTGGGTGACCTTAGAGAAGCCACATTCTCTCAGTCCAGTTCAAAGCAGAAAATGTGGGATTTTATTCAGCGGTGTTTGGAAGTGCCTTACTCTTTTCCTGACCCCAGGTTTACCACACATTATCGTTTCTCTCATGAGTCATCTCATATCTTGGTGTGTCCAAAGTATGATAGCCTCAGTTTAGTATTCTTGGCTTCTGTTGAGAGTTTTCTGAGTTTTGAACTAACTTCTTGGCTTTGACTTATTGACTCGGATTTCAGCTTGATCCCTGAACATCTGGCTTAACTTTGGAGCTCTTGACTACAGTTTGCGCTGTTGAATTCTAAACGAACTCTTGGCATCTGACTTTTGGATTGCAACCTTGACTACTGTTCGTTTTTGCTCCTAACTGGGTTTTGTAGCATTAATTGGACTCTCTGCATTAATTGGACTCTTGACCTTGATTTATGTTACTTGAACTATGTGCTGTAATTCTGTTTTGTTAGCCAGACCCTTGAAAAATTCAAAGCTTTAGTTTTCTATTCAAATAGAATCATAGAATTATAGAATCAAAGAGTTGGAAGAGACCTCATGGGCCATCCAGTCCAACCCCCTGCCAAGAAGCAGGAATATTGCATTCAAATCACCCCTGACAGATGGCCATCCAGCCTCTGTTTAAAAGCTTCCAAAGAAGGAGCCTCCACCACACTCCGGGGCAGCGAGTTCCACTGCTGAACGGCTCTCACAGTCAGGAAGTTCTTCCTCATGTTCAGATGGAATCTCCTTTCTTGTAGTTTGAAGCCATTGTTCCGCATCCTAGTCTCCAGGGAAGCAGAAAACAAGCTTGCTCCCCCCTCCCTGTGACTTCCTCTCAATATTTATACATGGCCATCATCATGTCTCCCTCTCAGCCTTCTCTTCTTCAGGCTAAACATGCCCAGCTCCTTAAGCCGCTCCTCATAGGGCTTGTTCTCCAGACCCTTGATCATTTTAGTCGCCTCCTCTGGACACATTCCAGCTTGTCAATATCTCTCTTGAATTGTGGTGCCCAGAATTGGACACAATATTCCAGGTGTAGTCTAACCAAAGCAGAATAGAGGGGTAGCATGACTTCCCTAGATCTAGACACTATGCTCCTATTGATGCAGGCCAAAATCCCATTGGCTTTTTTTGCCGCCACATCACATTGTTGGCTCATGTTTAACTTGTTGTCCACGAGGACTCCAAGATCTTTTTCACACGTACTGCTCGCGAGCCAGGCATCCCCCATTCTGTATCTTTGCATTTCGTTTTTCCTGCCAAAGTGGAGTATCTTGCATTTGTCACTGTTGAACTTCATTTTGTTAGTTTTGGCCCATCTCTCTAATCTGTCAAGATCGTTTTGAATCCTGCTCCTGTCCTCTGGATTATTGGCTATCCCTCCCAATTTGGTGTCGTCTGCAAACTTGATGATCCTGCCTTCTAGCCCTTCATCTAAGTCATTAATAAAGATGTTGAACAGGACCGGGCCCAGGACGGAACCCTGCGGCACTCTGCTCGTCACTTCTTTCCAGGATGAAGAGGAAGCATTGGTGAGCACCCTCTGGGTTCGTCCATTTAACCAATTACAGATCCACCTCACCGTAGTTTTGCCTAGCCCACATTGGACTAGTTTCCTTGCCAGAAGGTCATGGGGGACCTTGTCGAAGGCCTTACTGAAATCCAGGTACGCTACATCCACGGCATTCCCCACATCTACCCAGCTTGTAACTCTATCGAAAAAAGAGATCAGATTAGTCTGGCATGACTTGTTTTTGATAAATCCATGTTGACTATTAGCGATGACCGCATTTGTTTCTAAGTGTTTGCAGACAACTTCCTTAACAATCTTTTCCAGAATCTTGCCTGGTATCGACGTGAGGCTGACCGGACGGTAGTTGTTTGGGTCGTCCTTTTTTCCCTTCTTGAAGATTGGGACCACATTGGCCCTCCTCCAATCTGCTGGAACTTCTCCTGTTCTCCAAGAACTCTCAAAGATGGTTGCCAATGGTTCCGAAATGACTTCCGCTAGTTCCTTCAATACTCTTGGGTGTAGTTGATCTGGCCCTGGGGACTTGAACTCATTTAGAGCGGCCAGGTATTCCTGTACGACTTGTTTCCCAATTTGGAGTTGGATGTCCTCAAATCCCTCATCCACTCTGTCTTGCTGAGGTTGAAGATGACTTTCTTTTTGTGAGAAAACCGAGGCAAAGAAGGAATTTAGTAGTTCTGCCTTTTCCCTATCCCGTCAGCATTGCCCCATCTTCTCCTCGAAGAGGCCCTATCGCCTCCTTGTTTTTCCTTTTTCTACTGACATAAGAAAAGAATCCCTTTTTATTGTTTTTAATGTCCCTGGCAAGCCTGAGCTCGTTTTGAGCTTTAGCCTTGCGGACCTTTTCCCTACAGGTGTTGGCTATTTGTTTGAATTCTTCTTTGGTGATTTCTCCCTTTTTCCACTTCTTGTGCATGTCTCTTTTGTGTCTCAGCACAGTTAGAAGTTCTTTGGACATCCATTCTGGCTTCTTTGCACTTGTCCTATTTTTTCTTTTTGTTGGCACGGTTTGCAACTGCGGCTTGAGTATTTCACTCTTGAGAAACTCCCATCCATCCGTAACTCCCTTGTCTTTTAGTATCTGTGTCCACGGAATGCTGCTCAGTGTTTCCTTCATTTTTTGGAAATCAGCTCTCCTAAAGTCCAAAATGCGGGTTTGACTTGTCTTAGTTTCGGCCTTCCTTTGTACCTCAAATTGCAGGAGCACATGGTCACTTGCCCCTAAGGATCCTACGACTTCGACCGCATCGATCAGGTCCTCCGCATTTGTTAGGATGAGATCAAGAGTAGCCAATCCCCTTGTTGCCTCTTCTACCTTCTGGACCATGAAATTGTCTGCAAGGCAAGCGAGGAATTTGTTGGACTTTGTACTCTTGGCCGAGTTTGTTTTCCAGCAAATATCGGGATAGTTGAAATCGCCCATGACTACTACATCTCTTCTCTGTGCCTGTTTGGTCAACTGTTGGCAGAAGACTTCATCAAGTTCTTCCTCCTGGCTTGGAGGTCTGTAGTAGACTCCTACAACAAGATCTTTTTGAGTCCCAGTTCCCTTGATTCTTATCCAGATGCTTTCAAGCTGGTTTCCCGGATTGCTATCATGCATTTCTTCTGCAGCATAAGAGTTTTTGACATATAAGGCTACTCCGCCTCCTCTCCCCTTTGTTCGGTTTCTGTGAAAGAGTTTATAGCCCTCGATGTCTACATTCCAGCGATAGGAGTCATCCCACCAGGTTTCAGTGATGCCTATGATATCATATTTATGGTGTTGTGCTAAAAGTTGGAGTTCGTCATGTTTATTTCCCATGCTCTGTGCATTAGTGTAAAGACATGTGAGCCCCTGGGATCTTCCCCTGAGCTGTTTAATTGGGATTATTGTGCTTTCGGTAGTTGGTCCTTTTTGTGTTTGTGCAGCCCTCCGTTTAGCCTCCAGTCTTGGCTTATATTTGTTTGATACATCTCAGCTCTTGTTTCCAGTACAGCCCTGGAACATGACATCTACCACTAAAATGCCAACCACGGTTGCAAGCCTCCTCAGCCCTCAGTTAACCAAGCGCCAGGTCATGGCAGCAGTCCCTTTAAATGGAGACACCTTAATTATGCAGCAGCCCAAGTGAAAGGAGATCCCTACTGACTGAAGAAGGACCCAGCAGAGCATTTTTATTGGTCACTGCCACTCTGATTGGCTACAAAGGGCCCTAGGCTCATGAGAATCCCTGGCAGTTTGGAAAACCTCGTACAGAATGAGTGGTTTACATGCTTGAATCTAATGCGTTGTCAAATCTTATATGCACTCTAATTTTCATGGTGGAATTTGGCTAAAAAAGGTTCACATTTCATTCAAGTAAATACCGAAGTTTTATTTTTTTCCTCATATTTTCACATCTCCTTCCTTCAAGTCTAACCCTTCTTTTCATATAGATATTCTAGATACGAATTAAAATGCATTCTTAAGGACTCCTGTGCCAAATAAAAAGCATGTTGTTTCTCCAGATTTTGTTCTGACATTGGCCTCTTGTCAAATCTGTAGGTTACATATTGCAAAAACTACATGTTTGTGTCATCATAACTGGGGCGGCACCCAGGGAACATACAACCCCTCTGTTGCGCCAGCTCCATTGGCTACCAATTTGCTACCGGGCTCAATTCAAAGTGCTGGCTTTGGCCTATAAAGCCCTAAACGGTTCTGGCCCAAGTTACCTATCCGATTGCATCTCCGCCTACGAACCCACTAGGACTTTGAGATCTTCTGGGGAGGCCCTGCTCTCGATCCTGCCTGCAACACAGGCACGGCTGGCGGGGAAGAGAGACAGGGCCTTCTCGGTGGTGGCCCCTCGGCTGTGGAACACCCTTCCCACGGACATTAGATCGGCTCCCTCATTGATGGTATTTCGGAGAAAAGTGAAAACCTGGTTATTTGAACAGGCGTTTGAATAGGCAGTGCAATGAATTTTAGGAAATGGAACTACGGATGATAAGTTTGGATCATGATTCTAGTTATGAGACGCCAATGAATGAATGTTTATTGTTGTTTAATTGCTTAGTCTACTATTGTGTTAATTGTTTTTAAATACCTTGTTATGCTGCATTGAATTTTTGCTATTATTGTTGTTAACCGCTATGAGTCGCCTAAGGGCTGAGAATAGCGGTATACAAGTGAAGTAAATAAATAAATAAATAAATAAATAATCATGGCCTTCATAGCAATGTTTTTCATGATCATAGGTTTTGCTGTAATCTATGAATCTTTAGTGCACTCCATTAACCAGTTTTAGAATTACGTATAGTACCACAGTAAGGCATTGATTGGCATATATATCATATCATATAATTCATGGCATGCATTGAATACATTATTTTGGGTTCCTGAGCCGCGATTTTGTGTTTGACTTTGATTGATAGATTTCACGATTTCAATAACAAACCGAAGGAAAAATGCATGTTGCAAGCTAAAATTTGGCTTAACCTTGGTCTAAGCATTTGAGATAAAAACAAATATTAATTCAGTGCATCTGTGGCAATACAAGTACTTTCCATATGAACCTCTTACCAAGGGAGCTGCATATTTGCTGGGGTTCCTTCAGACCAAGAAAAGCGGTCAGGTTCTTCCAAATTATTCAATCCAACCCAAAAATTGTCCAAAGCTAAATCTAAAATCCAGTCCTGCAGAAAAGAATGAAAGCAGTTTAAGTGGATATTTTGGGCAAACATCTGGCCCAGCCGGAGGGAGGGGGGTTGACATACAGATTTCAAACATCCTTCTTATGAAATGAAAAAGGTGTAAAAAGCTTCAATTCCAATAGTTTCTACATGTATTGCAGTCTAGATATTTCTGGAAAAATCAGTCTTCCAAGTTTATATGAGAAGCTGAATTAGTTGTGATCTCATATGTGACAAAGGGTCCTTCCAGACAGACTCTGTATCCCAGGATCTGATCCCAATTATCTGATTTAAACTGGATTATATGAGGGCTCTTCCAAACAGGTCCTATATCCCAGGATCTGATCCCAGGTTTTCTGTTTATCTCAGATTATCTGGCAGTGCGAAGTCATATCATCCGGTTTAAAGCAGAAAACCTGGGATCAGATCCTGGGATATAGCATCTGCCTGGAAGGGCCCAAAGGCTCATTCTACACTGCCAGATTATCCAGATTATCTTCTTATCCCAGATTATCTGGCAGGCCCTATATCCCAAGATCTGATTCCAGGTTTTCTGCTTTAAACTGGATTATATGAATCCCCACTGCCAGATAATTTGGGATCAGAAAACTTGAGATCAGATCCTGGGATATAGGGCTTGTCTGGAAGACCCTCATATAATCCAGTTTAAATCGGATAATTGGGATCAGATCCTGGGAGACAGGACAGAATAGAAGGGACCTAAAACCCAATCCCTGAAGAAAAATGGGATATAAATACAATACTAATAAACTATTAAACTGCCCTGAGTCCCTTTCAGGAAATAAAGTATTATTATTATTATTATTATTATTATTATTATTATTATTAATAATAATAACTTCCATATTAAGTTTTAACTAATAGATTTAAGGAATGATGATGAAGAACCCAAGCAGGGCACTAATAAATTAACTGTATGTCTAAAAGATTATTAGACATGCTTGAGTAATAAAATATATGTTTGCATATATATATATTTAAAAATCCGACTTACTTTTTCCTCAGAACTAGTGAATGTTATTAATTCTGTATATTTGTATCTTTTGCAGTATCTTAATGCTTCAGCCCAAGTCCCCTCCTGATTTGTCTCGATGCAATAACAGTTTCCATTCCAATAATGCCAGCAAGGAGCCAGAGGACAGAATAATCTGAATCTGTCTTCAGATGGGAAAAATAAAATTATTTAATGGTATACTGTAATTAAATTGTTCTCTTTTACTGTATGCCCTCTTCAAATATATAATAAGACATAAATAAAAAGAGAAACCATGATTCTCAAACCCTAACTCTCTGATCAAGACTGCCCTTAAACATAAAAAGAAAAGAAAAATCAAAGCAAGCATTGGTTTAAATCCTGACCAAAGAAGAAAAAGTAGGTAAGCCTATTTATCAACTGGACTTACCTACATTTTAACATCATTCAACAGTTGATTGAATGGATCTACACTAGTTGGAACTAACATACAAAATTTCAGCCAAACCCCACTTTTTTTTTTAGCAAATCAGGAGATGTCAGAAGGGTTTAGGGTGAGTAACACAACACAAAACAGAAAATGAAATATACAAATACTGCGGGTAAATAATTTAATTGTTCTCTAAACACATTCATTTTTTATCAAGTTACATCAATGCACAACTCTGTCCTTCCCAAGTTAAAAATCCTGCTGGAGACAGCAGGATTCTTAACCTGTGTTTAAAGATGCCTATAAACCAGGAGCGAAAAAAATTAAATTCTTATTCATCCTATTATTTTTAGGGTTGAATTATGTAACTAAGATATTATTTAAATGCTTCCAAGGAAGGAGCTTCCACCACATTCCGAGGCAGAGAGTTCCACTGCTGAACAGCTGTGTGACTTCTTAGCCTTTTGTCCAGTATTCTTTCAATTGCATGACACAATAGGCGTATTGAGCGGTATGTTGAACATTTGAGGATGTATCCTTTGCCCTTCCAAATTGGTATGGTTATGCTGGTAGTCCAATCCTTTGGGGAGGGGGGGGGGTAGTTTTCTGTTATGATTTTGCTTAATAGTGATGCTAGAAAGGTAGCCCACCTTTGAGCATTTTCGAAATATGGAATATCATCCGTTATTTTTCCGTTCTTTACTTTTTGTATAGTTGTCTTTATTTCAGTGGCTGTGATATCTGACACTGAGCCAAAGACTAGAGCCGGGCTTGTTATTGGTGAGTGGTAAAATTCTATATTATTAATGTAGGAAAAATAGTCAGACCATCTTTGTAGGATGGATTGAGTGTCCCTCAATATTTTACCATCTTTATCTTTGATGTGCATCAAATGGGTAATGTCTTGTGTCATCCTTTCGCGTGATTTAGCAAGTCGGTACACCAGGTTTGCTCCTTCTGGTGTATCTAATTTATCATCGACATATTGGTAGTAGGGATTCTTTTGCATCAGTTGCGGAATGTTTTGCTGCTGATTTCAATAGTTGATATTTATCAGTCTATTTGGCAGTGTGATTTTCTCCATGTTAAAAATGCCTACTTTTTCCTGATTGCATTTTTTACACTTGCACTCCACCACCAGGTTAATCAATGTACTGACAGCCTGGCTTTGTCTTTCCCAGTTGTTTCAGCACTAGGCAACATCCTTCCACATTTTATCTGCTGACTGGTTAGAGTTTACTTCGAAGTTTTTCAGGGCAGCAGCTAGGCTCCCTGAGTGTTTAGTGTCCAACATCTGAATTTTGATTGCCCAGTTTGTTTGGTTTTTTTTTTTTTTTTTGGGGGGGGGGGGTCTGTTGCTTTAAATTGCTCATTTGAATGTCCATTATGACTAGCCAATGCTACGGACAGAACAAGTTTTGTGTCTTTAAGGAGTTTTAAATCCATTCTTCTCACTACCCAATAGTAAACTTGGGTCAACTGCACTATATAACATTTGAAAAATGTTCTGTTCCTGGTTTGAAAGTGTTATACCTGTTTCATTGTGCGGTACTTCCTTTGAAAGCAGATGTTATACTCCAGAAACTTTGTTTTTGTGGCTACCACAAACTATTGGTTGAGACTCAATGACATATTCCTTGAAAAGCTCTAACGGATAATTGGGATCAGATCCTGGGATATAGGACAGAATAGAAGGGACTTAAAACCCAGTCCCTGAAGAAAAATGGGATATAAATGCAATAAATCTAAAATCCAGTCCTGCAGAAAAGTGGTGCAGGATGCCTCGCAAAATAAAAGTTTTTGCAGTCTAATAATTTTTCTATGTTTTATGATAGAATGAATTGGGAAATTAGATTCATAACCCAGGAACAAAAAATTGTTTTACTGGGTGCTATTCTTAGCTTCTGAACACTGAACAGACACAAATGAACAAATACAAAATGGCTGCAGAAAAAGAATGCATCTTGGTTCAGATGTATGCCCTCACTCACACAGCCTGAAGTAAGTTAGTCAGATTTGAGAACATGTTCAGATTACATGCTATTGAAGCACTGACTAGAGGAATTAAATTGCAGCAGAAGGTGCATTACACAGTATTTCTTGGGGCATTTATAACCCACTCTTTTAAAGACTAATTTGGAGGGCTTTAATGACATGTATGAGACTGAGATTCATTCATTCATTTTTGTTTACTAAGGGGTTTTTATCTGGGTGGGGGGACAGACAAAAATATATTGCTAAAGTTTGGACATCATAGATCAAAATGGCTTATTTTTCACTAAGGTGATGCAGTTCTGTGCACAGCCTGTACCACTTAAGACTCCAGTTTCAGTTTATATAAAGAGACACAAACAAAATATACATAATCCCTCGATGAAGGTTTCTGCTCATACTTGATTAACTGCTATACCACTCAGCCGAGGAATAAAGCTTGGATGAAATATGTGTGGTATTGAATGTTTGCCTTTTTGTGGTTGGAATTTGTCCTGAGTCCCTTTGGGGAGATAGGGTGGAATATAGTTTTATTATTTGATACACAAGACAAGATCACTATGCTGGCTTTTGTATTGGATCACATGTCAGACACTTCCCAAGTGTCTAGGATTGTGTGATGTATCAGCAAATAATGCAGGTAGGGTGTCTTTTTGCAGTTGACCATTGGTGATTTTGTCAGCGCCTATTGTTTTTAAGTGCAGGTCAAGGTCTTTGGGCACTGCACCCAGTGCGCTGATTACCACTGGGACCACCTTTACTGGCTTGTGACAGAGTCTTTGCAGTTCTATCTTTAAATCCTTGTATCATGTAAGTTTTTCCAGTTGCTTCTTGTTAATTCTGCTGTCTCCTGGGATTGCAACATCAATGTTCCATACTTTTTTCCACAATCGTGATGTCAGGAGTATTGTGCTCCAAAGTGTCAGTCTGAATTCAGAAGTCCCAGAGTAGTTTGACATGTTCATTTTCCGTAACTTTGTCAGGATTGTGATCCCACCAGTTCTTTGTTACAGGCAGATGGTAGTTGTGGCACAATTCCACTGGATTATTGTTGTTGTTTTTGTTAAGTATTCCAAATAAATCCAGGTTAAAACACCAATTCTAGCTATGAGTTAAGGTAGTAGTCTAAACCCAAATGATTTTTTGTGGTTTCAGTATTTTGTATTGGAATCCTACTTGGATATAATTGAAATTTAACCTTATGCCCACCGCCTTGGTAAAAATGAAAGATTACAGACTTGGATTTTTTATATGTATATTTGCATCCCACACCTTTCATCCTTTTGTATCCAAATACTCATGTGAGGCTAAGGGCTCTTCCACACAGCCATATAACCCAGAATACCAAGACAGAAAATCCCACAATATCTGTTTTGTACTGGGCCAGAATAGCATAGCAGAAAATCCCACAATATCTGCTTTGTACTGGGTTATACGAGTCCACACTGCCATATATTCCAGTTCAAAGCAGATAATGTGGGACGCTACAGTTAAAGTACATATTTGAAAATGTTGTAATGCAAACCTGAGATTTATTATTTGTGAGGCACAGTGAGATCCTCTGGCAGATTATTCTAAATATATCACCAAACTACAAATCCCATGTCACCTTATAAAGGAAACATGGCAGCTGTATCAAACTGAAACTGAGTGCAAGGACCCTTCCACACAGCCATATAACCCAGAATATCAAGGCAGATAATCCATAATATCTGCTTTGAACTGGGTTACCCGTCCATACTGCCATATAATCCAGTTCAATGTGGATTTTATACGGGTGTGTGGAAGGAGCCTAAGACTCATCAACAGCAGGGAACCTATAAACTTCCCCAAGCTGCATCCCACTGAAGACTAACAATCTGATTTTGGACTACAGCCCCCCATATTGACTGGTAAATTGTGGCCCAAATAACATTTCCAATCTCTGCATCCTGTACCACACATCTACCTCATCGCATTGGCTCTTATATTTCAGATATTTAACAATTATGACGAGGTCGAAGAATAAGGGCCCTTCTACACAGCCCTATATCCCAGAATATCAAGGCAGAAAATCCCACAATATCTAATTTGAACTGGGTTATGTGAGTCCACACTCACAGAATGTGGGATTTCCTGCCCTGATATTGCGGGGTATAGGGCTGTGTGGAAGGGCCCTATGACAATCTACCTATCTATCGCTTCGAAAAGTCTCTCAAGTGAGAGCACTACAGAAGCGGGGGAGGGCTGGTTTTGGAAAGCTGGGCCTTGCTTTCTTCCTGCGAAGGAAGTGCAAATTTGGAGGGCTTTAATGGCATTTCTAAGGCTTTGAGCCTGTCGGTTTGTGGTCTATTTCTTTGTTTAACCAAATCCTTCCTTTAAACCCGGAAGAGCCAACCATCGTTACTCCTGACTCCACATACCACCCGACTCCGTTTGCACGCGAGGAAGGACAAGGAAGAGGAAGAGGAGGAGGCGGAGCAGCCATTGGGCAGGCGCCATGACTCTTGCCAGTCTTCGCGGACAAACGAAAGAGGCGCCAAAGAGCCTGAAACGCCCAGGCTGCCGCCTCCCGCTACATTCTGGGGCTTGTAGTTTTGGGGCGGGGCCTTTAGAACCCTCAGCTAGGGAGGCCCTAAACTCATAAACTACAAGCCCCAGAATGCCGCAGGAGGAGGCAGCCACAGAATTCCAAATGGCTGCATTTGCATACTCTTTGCCTACTCTAAACTCTAGTGCAGGCCTGGGCCAATTTGGGCCTTCCAGGTGTTTTGGACTCCAACTCCCACCATTCCTAACAGTTTCAGGCCCTTTCCTTTTCCCCCTCAGCCGCTTAACAGCCTGAGGCTGTTAGGAATGGTGGGAGTTGGAGTCCAAAACACCTGGAAGGCCCAAATTGGCCCAGGCCTGCTCTAGTGTGATAAGACTTGAGACAGGGCAAAAAACCTCTGCTGACTGTCCCCTCACAAGCAGGAACTATACACACACAGGCCTGTTTAGAGAACCACAAGGACACAAAGCATATACACATTAACAAAAATAATAACTGAACATTTTTTAAATTTATCGTGTCAAGCAAATTGTGGGTACAATTCAAATGTATTTAAAACACAAACAAATTTTAAAACTTGGCTTAATGCTAAATGACCAGAATCTGGCCACTTGGAGTACCTCGGGTGTTGCTATAAGGAGGTCCTCCACGGTGCATGTGGCAGGGCTCAGGCTGCATTGTAATAGATGGCCTGTGGTTTGCTCTTCGCCACACTCGCATGACATGTATTTTATAGCCCCATTTGTTAAGGTTGGCTCTGCCTCTCCTGTTCGGCACCTTCTTAGTCGCCCTGTCTTCTGTGCGCCCAGGAGGGAGTCTCTCGTTCGGTATCAGCCACTGATTGAGCTTCCGAGTTTTGGCCTGCCACTTTTGGACTCTCGCTTGCTGAGGTGTTCCTGCAAGTATCTCTGCAGATCTTAGGAAGCTATTTCTTTATTTAAGGCGTTGCCATGCTGGCTGATATCCAGACAGGGAATGGACTGGAGACATGGATGGGCATGAAGAAACCTCCCTGCAGGATCTTAACACATCTGGGCATCCTCTGGGCAACGTCTTCATAGACTGCTGATTGTCTCACACTAGAAGCAACTTGCAGCATGCAACCAAACAAACAAATAAAGGGACTTTTTCTGGACCAACCATTAATCTCAATCATCATTGAAGGTATGTCAGCTACCAAAGAACAACAGTGATACTGTTTGAGCATCTATCTCTTTGGCTGAATCTACACTGCTAAATTATGCAGTTTGAAATCCATTATAGGGCCGATGGGTCTGCACTGACTAATGTAAGGACCTGGGGTATTTTTGAATTCCAGTTACATATATACAGATTTCCAAATGCATATACATCCAAAATGAGATACCCTGGAGGTTTTTTATTTGTCGTGTCAGGCAACCGAACAGTTGTATTACATTTTTGACAGAACAAACAAATAAACATGCAAAAGACACAGAGTTTGCAAGCTTGGTAGTTGATTAAATGTCCTTTGACCAGTATCTGGCCACTTGGAGTGCCGCAAGAAGGTCCTCCATTGTGCATGTAGCAGGGCTCACGTTGCATTGCAGCAGGTGGTCTGTAGTTTGCTCTTCTCCACACTCGCATGTTGTGGATTCCACTTTGTAGCCCCATTTCTGAAGGCTGGTTCTGCATCTCGTGGTGCCAGAGTGCAGTCTGTTCAGCGCCTTCAGCACCTTGGAGGTGTATGAACACAAAACTCATTGAAGTTTTCAATAAACATAACTTTAAGTTATTTTTTAAAATTATTTTATTTCTGGAACAAAGTTTGTGTACAATTTAGGCAAGAGGAAGCATTCATGAGAGCAATTTTGTGAGCAATTTCAGACATTTGTGAGAGCAATTTCGAATTTTGGAGGATTTTGACATTCTGGATAAGGGATATTATTCAACATTTAACAACAATATGTAACAACATAGATGCAGGAGAAACGCCAGAAAATGCTTCTGGAACATGGCCATACAGTCCGAAAAACTTACAGTAAACCAACAATAACAACCATCATGATAAGAAGTAGTAGTAGTTATCTACTCTGTTCCATTATAGAAGGGATTCAGGAATCACCCATCAACCAGCCTTTTCTCGTCTGCCAGTCTTGTCTCGCAAAAGCAAATTTGTGGTGCTTTCATTTCTTGCCAAAAATCCTTCCCAAGACAAAAAACTAGGAAGGAAATTGCTTTCTGTAAGAAAAAAGGACCTCTGCCTCCTCCAAGGAATAACATTAATTCCAAGGGGTATGTAATAGCTTTAATTAACTCTTATTAAGCAAAGAGATGAGACTCAGTACCAAAAATCTGAAAGACAGTGTGCATTCGAAGATATGTTTTTCAGATGGTTTTCAGTGGTGGTGGTGTTGGTGGCAGATTTTGCAGGTGGTTGTTTTTAACTGCTGTCAAGTCAACTTTGATCAATGGAGACCCAGTGAATGAGAGAGACCTCCAGGTGACCCTATCCTCGACAGGTCTTGCAGACTCAGGGACATGGTTTTCCTGACAGAGTCCATCCATCTGGAATGCGGTCCTCCTCTTTCTCCACTGCCTTCCACCATACCAAGCATTATTGTCTTGTCTAGTGAGTCTTTTCTTGATATCTCCACAATATGACAGGCTTGGTTTAGTGATCTTGGCTTCTAGGGAGAATGCAGGCTCCATTTGCAGGTTACTGAACTGGTACTGAACACTGTCAGGTTAAAGCAGGCATGGGCAAAGTTGGGCCCTCCAGGTGTTTTGGGCTTCAACTCCCACAATTCCTAACAGCCTCAGGCCCTTTCCTTTCCCCCCTCAGCCGCTTAAGCGGCTGAGGGGGAAAAGGAAGGGGCCTGGGGCTGTTAGGAATTGTGGGAGTTGAAGCCCAAAACACCTGGAGGGCCCAACTTTGCCCATGCCTGGGTTAAACGGTTTGTTGCAGTGGTGGATGTAGATGTGAGTGAGCCAAGGAATGTGTATTTATCAAGACCTTCGCAAAGACTGTCTTCTTCATAATACTTTCCCCTCTCCAGGACAGCTCCAGGGATGCTCAAAGATACCCCATTTACATTAGTATTGCACAGTTGGTCCTGCTGTGAAAAACCCTTCCATCCAGGAGATGGAATGTAAAGCAATTGTCTCCGATCAAGGATCAATTGCTGGAATTAAAATAAATATCAAATGATGTCTCTGATGTCAATGGGTTTATGAATCCACAATCTGTAGCATCTTGGAGTGACTTCCTCACATCACTGGGAAACACTAGTCATCACCTGTTAACATTAGTGTGTATTTATTGTTTAGTCATTCAGATGCTTCCCACTCTTCATGACCTCATGGACCAGCCCGCGCCAGAGCTCCCTGTTGGCCGTGGCCACTCCCAGTTCCTTCAAGGTCAAACCAGTCATTTCAAGGATACCATCCATCCATCTTGCCTTTGGTCGCCCCCTCTTCCTTTTTCCTTCCATTTTCCCCAGCATCATTGTCTTCTCCAAGCTTTCCTGTCTTCTCATTATGAGGCCAAAGTACATCATCTTTGCCTCTACCATCCTTTCCTCCAGTGAACAGTCAGGCTTTATTTACTGGAGTATGGACTGGTTGGATCTCATGGTCCAAGGCACTCTTTATTTAGAATAATATTTTTGACTTTTCATATGAACTTACCTATACAATTAAAAAGAGCCCAATGGTAGTTTTAAAATAGAGATCCTGTGTAATGTTGATCATAAAAACCTGTCACCTCTTACTACTAGCCAAACTGGTTTGAATAGGATTTGGGCGACCATTGTGTTTATTGCATTTACATGCTACCTTTCTCATGATGTGGGACCCAAGGCAGTTCTCATGCTCTGTTTTAAAGTACAATAGCCAGCATGGTACACTGATTTGAGCATTGGGACTATGATTCTCGGAGACCAGTGTACAAATCCCAGCCAAGCCATGGATACCCAACTGGATGACCTGGGACAACTCAAACTCTTTCTGCCTCAGAGGAAGGCAACGGCATCCCCCTACAAACAAACCTCCATCATGAGTTTGCCTTAGGGTCGCTATGAATTGGACATGGCATAAAGGCACACTATAACAACAACCCCTTAGAAATCTGTCTTGAAAAATGTAAACATCTCAGTAAGTTCATATCGGTGTACACAATGGGGGCATCATTCTGAGTTTTGAAAAAATCAGCTTCATCTGCAAGATTGCACCCACTAATCTAGGAAAAATGTAAAGCAGACAGTAGATATCTCCGTGAAACCACAAAGTAATCAGAAGAAAAATTATGAATGCATTAAGAAAAAAGGTCTATGCTTCCATGGATTAATCCTGGGTTTATCTCCATACCTGCTCTATAAGAAGATTAAAAAAACACGAAGAAAGCCCAGTCTATTATACTCCTATTTCTATAAGCATTAGAATTTCGGAAAACATACATATTTAGACCTGATCTGGCTAAAGTAAGAGTGCCCCCCCGCTCCCTGGCAGCTGTTTTCAAGAGGGTGACATACTTTCACACTGCATACTTTATGAACACTTCTCTGTATGCCTCCCAGAAAAGTTGGACAATATGCTCCTAAAGTCTCATTAAACAAGTGTTAGACTTCTAGTGTAGTCCCTTTGGTGGTAACATGTAATCAGTAATGTTTCAGTATCTTAATTCGAAGGGGAATGTGAGTAGCAGCTTGTCTTTATCATCAATGTACAAAAGTCTTCAAAACAACAGGGGGATGACTTCATTCCTCAGCGTGAGTCAGCCAACTGTGAGGTGCAAGGCACAGACAGTTCAGGAGTAAACATAACATCTGCATAAACGGTTAATTCAAAAAGGGAAAGAAAATCCTGCATTTCATCTCCCAGAAACATGTTAAATTGTCTTCAAACAGGTGGGTGACATTTGAGTAAGAAAAATCCAAATCAAGCATTTTTATCAATAACTGAGCAACTGTAGCCATTGCTTGTTGCTAATTACTAATTATTAACAACTAA